GCTTTCTTAACTGAAGAACAAAAACGATCATTAATTAGGATGAAGTCTATTTGATTACTGATAATGTTATCAGGAGTGTCCGATGGAGATTTCCAAGTATATAGCCTACGAAGTGGTGGATTGAACAAAGTATTTGAAATTTTTAATTTATATTCTTGACAGAATTGTATTAGTCGATCTCCTATATCATTTCTTTCACCTAGTCCATACTGGCCAACAACTGCTTGAACTTCTTCTCTTCCAAGTCTCCTTTGAATTAAAGTCTCCTTGAATAATGTTTATTACACGTGATTTGGGCAGTCGCATAAGTTCACTTAATTCAGCATAAAAAGATTCTATTTCGTCCACGCCGAAATATATCAATATTGTATTTCTTCATTTCTAAAATCGTGTTAGCTAATTTTTCTGTTTCATACAAGCTTCTAGTATTCCATGTTCCAATGTTTAAAGTTTGGTTAATTTACCTCCGGGGGTTCTTAGCACCCTCGTATTGCCGGAGACTGAGGGCCTTGATTGCGGTTGTACTTCCATTGTTACATGATATGCTGGGATATGTAATTCGGTGGTTTCCTGTTGCTTTCTGAAGGGTTTATTGTTTTCCGTCAATACACATTTATATAGCGGGCCAAGTACATTTGTCCGCTTTCAGCCGTACCTCTGGTATCAGACGCTGAAACGTTGTGGATTGCTTTTGGCTTCGATATTCACTGTAGACCTTACCGACTTGGGAAGCCCTACCAGTAGCTACGCTACCGCCGGCATCACTTTCTAGATCATCATATCCACTAAGCTCCTTCATCGCGTCAAGATAGCAGTCCTCAAAGGAGTCTATCACAACGGACAGTTCAAATTCAAAAATAAAGTTAAGAGGATTTGTAAAATTAATAAACTTAGTCCAATAACTGAAGATGAAATATGTATGGAAACGATATAATTCAGACTCTGAAGAAAAGGTGTTAGCAGAGATGAATGAATTTTGAAAATGTTTCGCTACAGGCATAAATGGAATTGGTGAGAATCTAGCACAGGAGCACAAGCATTATAGAAAATCATTGGTCATTAAAACAAAGTTAGCTGGAAAACGGTTGAAAACTTTATATGATACTAGAATTACTTTAGCATCAGATACATTCTCTGAAACTAAAATCGATTTAAAAAGCCCAAAAAGTGAGTTAAAAAACTGCGACAGAAACTAAAAGCGGAAGATTTTTTATTATTTGCTGAAGAACCTGTGGAGGGAAATTTTGGTAGTCTTAAATGTATGCATGATTCGGATGAAGAATTAGATGATAAAGATGATATAAGTGGGCTATAAATAAAGCACGTGAATTAAAACAAAAAGAAAATATTATTTGATCGATTTGATAAAGAAGATGTAGACGACACTATTCCCATCACTCAAGAAGAACTTCACCCACAACGATTAATTGCTGCTTATAACACCGATAGTAAACGAGCTTACGCTTACACACGTTCCGACGGCAAACACACAAAATCAACTAAATTTGCACAAGGTGATTTAGTTTTGACAGAACGAGAACCAGCATCCATTGGTATGTTCTGTAAACTTGAATGTCGATACAAAGGATGATTCGTAATCACCGAAGTTCTCGATAATGTCATCGAAGATCTATAGCGAATGTCAAAACGCGAGACAATTTGATTTAGCAGAAAACTTTGGTTGACGTCAATTGTGTTGCGTAATTCACGATTGTAGTATATTTTCAATTAAAAATTGTGTAAATAAAAACTAAATTAAAATAAGGCTCACGTATTTTATTTTATATTATAAAATATAAAACATTCAGGTATTCTTTGCACAAGTCAATACAATACATTATTCACAACTTGAGGGCTGCGTGCAAAAAAGAAAATAGGTAGTAGAAATATTTTGTATAAAAATATTTCTACTTCAATAAACCCAAATAAGCGTATTAACAAAACATGCAGAAATATATGTAAATTAATATAATGTATCATTCACCATGTAATAAGAATGTGCGAATACAATTCATCGCTGGAGAACTGCCGTATAAAAAATAAAATTGATAGTAGTATCAGTCTTTGTTATAAATTTCTCATCAAAACTGTATTAATTTGTCTAGAAAAGCACAAAATAACATTCACCAACCATTTCATACATTTTTTGTGAAATTACAAAAACAACTACAACAGTAAAGCGATCTATTTTTCTGTTTTTAAAATTAAAACTCTCGATGTATTACTTACATTTTGTTTCTAAAAACAATAGTTATTTATTTTTGTTTTAATTTTTGAGTCGTTACTTCGAAAATGTTTAAATGCGGTTATTTTTGTTTTTTAAAATATACTAACTTTTATTTCGAAAGTTTTTTTTGTGTATCTCTACACGTGTTTTGGCAAATTCGCTTTTGCCTTCATCAGGAGAATTCCTAATATTAAAACATCTAGCAATCTTACAAACTATTTATACCATAAACATGTTATTTTTAATACTAAACTTAATATTAATAAATCCTAAGGTTATTGTCCTTGGGGGTGACAGGTAAGAAATGGTGGCGGGGTTGGTCTGGTGTTGTTTTTTTTTATTTTTACATACAGGTAGTTAGGTTGACTGGTTGTCGGTTTTTTGGGATGTATCTAAAAAGGCACGATGACACGTTGCCTTTGTCGCCGTTGAGTAAAGTTGTGGTATGATGTTTGTGTATTTCGATGCTTTCTGCCGTTTCTAATTTCCAGCTATCCCTTACATTTTTGATTATTTGGGCGTTATCCCTGTTGATGTGGTGATTTTCCTTTACTATATGTCTGGCGACATTTGATTTTATGTGGGGGTTCATTTTCTTCGGTGCTTCTCTTGCTTCCTTCAGGTGTTCTTCAAGTCTTACTGATAAGGGTCTTTTGGTTTGTCCGATGTATACTTTGTTGCAGGAGCCACACTCTATTTTGTATACTCCGCATTTTTCGAATGGGTCAATTGGGTATTTTGTGGATGGTAAAAGGCATTCAAGTTGGTGTGGTCTACTAGAGTGAACTAAGTCGATATTGAACTTTTTTAACTTGGATTTTAGACCTTTGGAGACAGTGTTATTGTATACTACAGCGACTCTTCTTTGTTTTGGTTTTTCTGCTGTCAATGTCGTCATGTTCCTGGAATGTAGTTGCCTTCGTTTCTTTTTTATGATTCTATCGATGGTGTTTTGAGGGTATCCGTTGATGTCCGCTATTTCTTTAATGTATGTGGTTTCTTCATTGATGGCTGCTTGTGTAAGGGGTAGCGTGAGCATTCTATGTGGCAGTTATTATTATTGATTATTGAGTTATTATTGAATTACATATTTTTAAGATGAAAATTATTATATATTTTTTAGCAAAAAATGATACACACGGTCCGATGTATTTTAACAAGTTTTTACTTCACTTTATTATCTATAGTAATGAATAATAGGAAAAGGAATATAGAATAATGACAGGCCAGAATTGCCAGGCAATTAATTATTTAAAAAAGTACTTTACATAACAACACCCCCTCTTAAAGTGCTTTTATTATGTATAAAATATGATTTTAGTATTTCATTCCTAATTTCCTTAAGCAATTAACATGCTTTTCTGTGGTGAGTCCTTTGGTAAGGACGTCTGCGGGCATTTCTCCTGTTGGCATATATTTGATTTTAATAGTGCCGTCGTTAACCTTGCTGCGAATAATTTGATAACGAATATCAATGTGCTTTGTCCGTGGATGATACCTGAAGCTTTCCGTTAATTTTTGAGCGCTTTGATTATCATTAAAGATTTCAATTGTCTTACTTGTAACGCCAACATCATCAAGGACTGCCTTTAGATATAATGCTTCTTTTGTGGCCTCAGATATGGCCATATATTCCGATTCAGTGCTTGAAAGCGCTACTGTACGTTGCTTTCGAGCTTCCCAACATATCGCTGCTCCTGATATAATGAACGCATACCCTGAATATGAACGTCTATCGTTTAAGTCAGCGCCCCAATCAGCGTCAACCAGACAATACAATTCTTCATTGTTTTCCTCGTACAATAGACCATAGTTGCTTGTACCTTTAAGGTATCTTAGAATTCGTTTTGCTGCTTTCCAATGTTCCACGTTATAATTTGAATTGAACTGGCTAAGAAAGTTTACAGCAAATGCAATATCAGGTCGAGTTGTAACAGCTAAGGGATACATTTTCATAACACCTTCATCAATTTTTGTTGGTTTCGTTAACTTAGTGTTCAATTCTATGGGAGTCTTCATTGGTTTACAGTCTTTCATATTGAACTTTTCACTGATGCTTTTTGCATACTTCTCTTGTGAAAGAAAAACTTGATGATTGCTTAAATTTTGATGAAACTCGATGCCAAGACAATTACTTACTATTCCCAAATCCTTCATTTCGAAATCATTCGCAAGTGCAACCTTTATTTCTTTTATACGAAACTTATTATTGGACGCTGTTAGTAAATCGTTTACATATATTGTCATCAAAACAATGTCGTTGCCTTCACGCTTAGTGAATACACAAGGATCCTGTTGTACTGCACTTAGACCCATATTCTGTAGTTTCTTTGTCAATTTCATGTACCATGATAGCCCAGACTGACGGAGTCCATAAAGAGCTTTCTTTAATAAACACACAGGTGACTTACTTGATTTAATCGCCTTTAACCAATGCTGCGCTGTTTCTTTAACTTTTCCACACAATAAGTTTTTCCCACTGGTTTTGATGAAACAACTTTGTTCAGGAATGGTATAAGATAATCGGGAATTTCCAGGAAGACACTCTCTTCGAGCTCTCCATTTAGGTATGCTGTAATGACATCCATCTGATGGATCTCCAAATCCATTTTGCTGCCAGTGCCGCAAGTAGTCTTATAGATGTTGAACGAGCGACTGGAGAAAACATATCATGAAAGTCTTCACCTGGTCCTTGTGCAAAACCCTTCGCTACTAATCGTACTTTCTGTTTTCCGTCATCTTTAGTTCGAAGCACGAATCTATTCCCAATAACTTATCGTAATTTCGGTCTTTCGACCACTTCCCATGTTTTATTCTTTAGTTGTGCCACCATTTCGTCTTCTAGCGCCTTTGACCAGGAATTTGTTTCATCGCTTTCATGTGCCTCTAAAATCGTTACTGGAGTTTGATATGTAGTGAGAAACGCCATTTCACAATCTTCAAAAACGTTGTTGTCAGGTTCATCATCTAATTGGTTTTCATCAGTAATTTTTCTTACTGAACTTGTATTTTCGTCTTCGTTGGATGATTCTTCACCATTCCGATTTGACGTGTGATATTCTTTTCGAGGCCTACCGCGTGAATTTGTGCGAATAAGTCTCGGACGACCTCTTCTACGAATGGAGTTTTCTGCTCGCGTATCTGTATTTTCTACAATTTTCGGATTGACCGACGGTTTCTGATTTTCAGAATTTTCGAACGCAATATCGATATAATCATTAGTTTGGCAGTCGTTTTCATTGTTAATATAAATGTTTTCGTATTTATTATGATAGATATTTTTGTTTACGAACACGACATTACGACTTATTGTTATATTTCGTTTTGTAGGTGACTATAGCCGATAGGCTTTCGCTTCGTTTGAATATCCAACAAACATGTAAGGTTCTGACTTAGAATCGAATTTATCTCTAGTCTTATCCTTTTTTAGGACATATGCTTTAGAGCCAAATACTTGAAAATGTACAATAGTTGGCATTTTACCAGTCCACAACTTGTGCGGTACTACACCATTCAATGCTTTTGTAGGTCACCTATTTCGAATATAGCACGCTGTATTTATGGCCTCTGCCCAAAAGTTTGGCGGAACTTCAGCTTGTTTCATCATGCAACGGGCCATTTCAACTAGAGTTCTGTTTTTACGTTCAGCAATACCATTTTGCTCCGGCGTATATGGAGCAGTTAAGCGTCTTTGTATACCAAATTTCCTCAAGAATAAAATAAATTCAGAATTAACGTATTCTCTACCATTGACTGATTGTAAAGCATTAATTCGTTTACCCGTAAATGTTTCTACTGCTCTTTTGTATTGCTTAAATACATTTAATACATCGGATTTTTGTTTCATAAAATAAACTTGACAATAGCGTGATTTGTCATCAATAAATGTTACGATATATCTTGCATCCGAATTTGATGCTGTTCTCATTGGTCCGCACACATCACTATGCACGATCTGTAATAAATCACTTGTTCTAGTTTCTTTACTCTTAGGAAATGACTTTTGTGTTTGTTTTTCACTAATACAAATTTCGCAAGTCGGAAGTTTTTGTTTAGGATTTAATTTTAATCCGTGTACTAGGTTATTACTAGCCAATTTTTTAAGATCATTTTCATTTATGTGGCCCATTTTCTGGTGCCACTTTTCAATGTCACATTTTTCTTCAGCAACTTGTGCAAAATGATTTTTATTTTCAGCAATAAAAAGATTTCCACATCTTTTCGCTCGATTTAAAACCTTCTGATATTTATCCAATACGATTGCATGTGAAGGGCGAAAATGCACTTCATATCTGCTGTCTACTATTCTTGATACAGAAAGTAGACTTGTACGCAAGTCTTCGACATATAGGACTTCTTTAAGATCAATATTATTATCACGACCGTCTACGTCTACAGTTATTTTCATTTTATCGACGCCGTTTATATTTGTTGTGTTATCGTTTGCTAAGTTAAGCACTTTATTCGATTTTTGAAAGTCTGTAAAATATTCACGGTTTGCACTTAAATGGGCAGTACATCCACTATCTAGGCACCAATAATTTTCTTTTATTGAGCTAATAAATGCATCTTCAACATGATAGCTAAAATTATTGTTTACAGATTTTTCCGAATTTTTCAATTGCGTGTTATTTTCAGTTTTTGCTTTATTTTTACATTCACAAAATGTCCGTTTTTGCCACAATTAAAACATTATTTATTTCGTTTAGAATCACTGTATCGTTTGTTTTGTTTTGCGTTTCGGCTTTTGTTTCGATTTATGTATAGAGAGTTTTCATCACTATGTCTATCTTCTTTTGTCCTTTGCGATTCAGCTTCTTCTAAGATTTTCACTCGAAGTATATCTGGTTTCGGCAGCTCGTCGCGTGTTTCTAATGCGCACCTGAAAGTGTTGAAAGAGTCGGGTAGACTGTATAAGAGCAGGATAGCAAGAAGCTCATCCCCGATGGTGACGTCAATTTCTTTTAATTTCACAACGGCTTCGAAGAAATCGTTTAGATGTTCTCGAACCTTCTCACCCTCTTTCATGCGCGAATGTGCAACCTTTTTCAGCAACGTCGCCTTGCGCGCAGGCCCTTTTGATGAATATGTGGCTTGTAGGTTTATCCATATTTCCTTTGAGTTTGTGCATTCTGCAATTAATCTTAATTCTGATGCACTTACTGATAGCATTATATCAGCACACGCTTTCTGATAAAAGCTGATCCATTTTGCAGCCCCTTCGCCCGTTGGACACGACGCAGTACCTTCGATATATGACCATAAATCGTTTTTCACGAGAATAGCTTTCATTTGGAGCTTCCATGTATCGTAGTTTTCCGCATTAAGCGGTTCAACGCGAATTACCGTTCCCGACATTTATATACACGTATTAAATCTACTTTTTATGCGCACGTGCTTTTACTTCGCAGTGGAAGCGTGCTGGGCCCATAACCTATTATATATTTTTTAGCAAAAAATGATACACACGGTCCGATGTATTTTAACAAGTTTTTTACTTCACTTTATTATCTATAGTAATGAATGATAAAAAATGGAATATAGAGTAATGACAGGCCAGAGTTGCCAGGCAATTAATTATTTAAAAAAGTACTTTACATAACAACAAAAATAATAATTATAAAAAGTGGGAGAGCAAAATTCACGTAATAAAAATTATTTTTGGAAAATATAAGAGACGCTAATTTTAAATTTTATTTTTATTTTACGTTATATATTTTAATTAATTTGAAAACGCTTACATATATAAAGCATGAATAACATTAGGAATAAGAGTTATAAAAATGATAATTATATTTTTAAATAAGAGTTTAGTCAACCTTTTGGTGCTGTTTTTTTTTTTTAACAATATGTCAAAGAATTATTATTTCAATTCTTGCACGTTTAAGCATATTATTCAATATTCGAACATTAATTAATTTTTAAATTTTATAATAATTAAACCTTCTTTTCCTCATTTTTATTAATATAATATCCAACAATTTTTACTTGTTTATTTTTATATACAAAATTTATTTTACGTTAAGTCCAAATTAATTTACTGACAGCTATCAAAAATCCATTTAGCACATCTTAATTTTACTTTAGTACATTTACACTAAATTTACATTTACACTTTAGGCACGTTTTAATTTTACAATATTGGTAATAAATACTATGTAGTGGCAAGCGTCTTGTACCAAATCAAAATTCAATAATGATATGTCTCGGATATACATACGCATTGTGTAATTGCCAAGTTTTTCTATTAAAATAAGGGTTGTTATGTGCAGAATTTTGATGTAGTGGCATCATTATATTTTAACAATACATGTTGTGTTTTTTAATTAGGAATTTCGGTTTAGAGTTTGTAAAATAATAAAATAGTTAATTGGCGAAATGTGAAATGCTGTGTATATCGAAGAAGCTATTTCATTTGCATGGGTAGATTTATGTACTGTATATTTTATAGTACATTTTACTGTTATATCGTTATTCCACAATTTTTCATATTAAGAATTGCAAATCGTTTATAGAATAATTTTGAACATTATTAGAACATACATTTCAAAGTTTGGAATTAAGTTTTAGAAGTTTTTTTCTTATGTGTTATTACAAAAATGAAAGTTGAAATAAGCAAACTTAAAAAGGGTTCTTCGGAGCTAACACCCGAATGTCGAGAACTTATTGAACGAATCACTAAATGTAGTACTCGGAAAGAATTGTTAAATTTTCTAAACACTGTAACCATATGGACGTATGGAAAATGTGAACTTCATTATTGGATAGATATTCTAGATAAATTTGATGTTATTCTGGGCGAAGCAGCTACTAAAGAAATTGGAAATGAGTTCCTTTTAAATTGCGATACAAAATTTTCAGTAGAGGTAAGTGACTCGTTTAAATGTACAGAGTGGTTGGAAAAGTCTACATCATAAGAATCATGTTTTCTATGTAATATTTTTCAGTAAAAGAAACAAAAATAATAAACCTGAATTTTCAGAAACATATATTCATTACCTTTTTTTATTTTGGGCTAATGGAGAAAATTCAAATGGAGAAATTGCTTATGGAAGTATAGAATAAAATATACACTTCCATAACAAAGAAATTGGCCCAATCACTGCCATGATATTTAAAAGAAGTGATCTGATGCAAAGGAGGAGCATCCAGATATTAAAAACTTTTATTTTTCTTCTTATTTTACAGTGGGCTTAGTTGGAATGATGTACACTTTTATACCAAGAAATTTGTTTTTGTAGTTATTCATAAAGAAAAACAATTCAAGAAAAAATTGAGTAAAAGAATGAACGAATGATGTAGACTTATTTGACCGTACTACGTGAATGTAAATATAGTATATTAAAATTAGTCTCACACATTGAAATTAGGATTTTCTACTTACTAATCAAAAAAAAATTATAACTTTTTCTGTATATAGGTTTTAATGATCCAATTTTCTCTAATTTATTTAAAAGAATGCATAAATAAAAATTGTGCTCAATTTTGTGCTTCTTTCTATTATGTGAAGTTGTATAATATAAGATTAAATATAAAGAATTTTTGGCGTTTATTTTATGTATTTACTATATACCTTAATGAACTACCTCAATTATAGACAGTCAGAAAACAAAACATTTATGATAGCTTCAGCACCCTAGGTGGCAGTTATATAAACAGATCCATCTCCAAATCCGAAGTTGTGTCTGACATTTTTATATAACAATATATTAATTTCTTACTTGAAAAAATCAAAAAAAGTATAACAACATAATTATTGAACACAGTTAATGTACAATTATGAAAACAAAAAATTATAAACACAAAAAATAGTATAATTTGTTTTTGTTGTATTGTTTTTTTTTTTCTATAAAATTATTTACATTATTTATTGCTTACATTTTTAAATTAGTAGTTAACAAAAAGTGATCATAAATATTCTATATACAGAAACAAAAATTATTTTTTGTTAATAATTTAAAAAAAAAATTAATATAATTTTGATGTATAAATTTATTTTTGACGTACTGTAAGTATATATAACACGTTTTCTAAGGCGCAGCGTTTTGACCACGATATGCTGAAGCAGTGGATGTACTGTATTGCTGGTCGTACCAGTATGTTGGTTTGTTTATACAATTGCTATTGCACACTTGATATTACCAAATTTGTTGTTTAAATATTATACTTCACACAATTTTTTCTTGTCAACAGTAAAAATAGTTGCTTAATTCTTTAAAATATACAATTAAAACTTTCTTGTGAGATTAATTCAAATTAAAAAAATATTTTATAAATTCTGCCCACTACTTTATAAAAATTTTGAACTAAATTTTTTTTAAATCATACTGCAAGTATTTGTTTTTGTCGCGTTTTAGGGCAGTTTTGTTTTATATTCTTCCAAATCTTCTGTGTTCTTCTCGTAATTTAGTTGTGGACCAAACGAGACTTCGATGATAAACAACATTTGTAATTTTTCCCCCTGTTTATTATTTTTATATTATCGAATTTATTTTATATATTATATTAGCGAATTTAGGTCTTTTATAGGCCTAAAGTATGGCAAAAAAACAAATACTTATGAACAATTAGGGTTGATAGGACTTCTTGTAAAAATAATAATCTACAAAATAGATGTTTATTTGCATATAAAATTGTATAAAATAATTGATAAAATTTGAATAATTTATTTATGATTTAAATATCATATAGTTTTAGTAGAAACGTAATCTAAATTCGTTTTAAATGGGCTTGAGGAAAATTTAACAGTTTTTTGTTGCTTACTAATACTAATTCCACGTCTTTTATTTTCCATTGTAAGAATTTACTATTTATATAAAAAAATATTTTTAAATGAATAATTCTTATATGGCGTTTACACTGGCTGAAAATGGCTCATTCTGAATGAGTCATTTGAAAGTGTTTACATTCGTTGTATTTCATTTTTTCTCATTTCAAACAGCTGATTTTTCAACTTGCATGTTGATTTAATTTTTGGCCTGTGCCAAAAAAAATGTTACAGGAAGGTTAAATATACCTTCAAACCTTACAATATAAACTGAAAACTTGTTTCTAGATTTGGTGCATCGTTTTAAAGAAAACGCAACCACCAAACATTTGTTTACCTTTTTTTGTAAATATGTTAAAACAGTTTTTTTCAAACTGTCAAAATGCCATGAAGACCTTTCATTTAGGGTATGTTCAATGGATTCCCTTGCATTTGGAACATATGTGGAATGCATCCGAACGTCTTTCATACAGAATGTGAGAAAATTGCTCATTTTCGCGCTTGAAATTTTATATGCAAGAATGAGACATTCGCTACTCATTTTCGATTTTTGACCAAAATGAGCCATTTTCGGCCAATGTAAACGCCATATTAGACTCTAGGAAATCAACTGATAATTAAATATCATTTAATGACACATTTATGATTGCAAGCGAATTTAAATTAGCGCTAAATCTAAATATCAAGAAGTGACCGTAGACTTTTTGTGCTTCAAAAATTGTTGCTTTTGCATATATTTTTGCAATTAATTTTTTTTTATAGAATAACTGTTAGTTTTTTATATTTGAACTTCATTGTTGTTTCTTTAGTTAAAATTAATCTAAAAACAAAAATCAAGAAAAATGTTGTAGGTGTGCGTAGACTTTTTCTGCTGTATGTATAAAATTATATTTAAGTTCGGTTATTTTTTGTTTTTTAAAAATATACTAACTTTTATTTCGAAAGTTTTTTTTGTGTATCTCTACACGTGTTTTGGCAAATTCGCTTTTGCCTTCATCAGGAGAATTCCTAATATTAAAACATCTAGCAATCTTACAAACTATTTATACCATAAACATGTTATTTTTAATACTAAACTTAATATTAATCTTAATTTTAATAAATCTTAAGGTTATTGTCCTTGGGGGTTATTGTCCTTGTCACCCCCAAGGACAATAACCTTAAGATTTATTAAAATTAAGATTAATATTAAGTTTAGTATTAAAAATAACATGTTTATGGTATAAATAGTTTGTAAGATTGCTAGATGTTTTAATATTAGGAATTCTCCTGATGAAGGCAAAAGCGAATTTGCCAAAACACGTGTAGAGATACACAAAAAAAACTTTCGAAATAAAAGTTAGTATATTTTTAAAAAAACAAAAAATAACCGCATTTACACATTTTCGAAGTAACGACTCAAAAATTAAAACAAAAAACAAAAAAAAAAAAAAAAAATATATATATTTAAGTTGTTTTGTATTAATCCGGTAATGCCCAGAATAATTGTTGTCGCAGATTTTGTTAATAAGACATATATTAGTGTATTTTGACTTCCTGAGCAAGAATATGAGGTCAACCTTTTGATTTCTGTTGACACTTTTTCGGAAAA